CCCCCCCCCCAAATCATTTTAACTCATTAACCTTCCAGTTCTGTGCACCCCCACTCCCCTTACTTTACTCATTCAAAATTGACCAGTCTGTTTTAACAGCTCTTAAAAGAATGACCAGGAATACAGTGGATTCAGGATTATGTTATTATTGGGCTCTAACATAAAGTGTCATCTCAGAAGTCAAGATAAGATAAGACTTTTGACTCAGTTAAGAAACAATAAATAAATCAACTTCTGACTCTTTGGCTTCATTTGAATGCGACAGGTGATTTTTTTTTTCATGTACTTGGTCTCTCACCACTGATACAACACTAGCATCTGTGCAATCGGTCTCCGTACAGCTCTTATAGTCCTGAATAACAAACCAAAACCTTCCACTTCAGTCTGATTTCCTCAGCTACAAAAGACTTATTAAATTCCAGACTTGTTTACTTACAATATGAAATTCTGAATTAAGTAGCACCTCTGTCATTTACCTAACTCACACAAAAATTCTGGGCACTGATCAGCAAAACAAAGAGACATTGTTGTCATCATTAGAAAACCACTGTGTGGAGAAAAAGGCTTAACAACAAAAACCTCACAACTGTGAAACATTGCAGGTTGTCATAGGTCTGTCTGTGTTACTTGCTTTTTGTGCTTTATGTCTCTGTCTGTCTTATCCAGGTATCGCTGTTTTGTTTTTTTTAGTTTTCCTAATAAACAATAAAAATTGACTATTTTTTTTAAATTTTACATTGGCATTTAGTTTTATAATTTTATTCTGTTTCTCATTCTTGTTTTCTTGCATGTTTGACTGCAGTAAAGCTGAAGCTGTTTTTTTTAATGAGCCTCACCGGGCACATGCAGCATCTCTGCCAGTTTCTGTCCTAACATGTTGGCACACTGCACACAGTCGTCCATGCTGACATTCTGGACGGGGATGAAGGGACAAACGTCCATGGCCCCGGTCCGAGGATGTTCACCTGGACACGAAACATGTTAATGCCTTGATGTTAGGAAGCAGCTCCCTGAGATGAGCTGCTGGGCTCAGACTCACCTGAATGCTTCCTCATGTCAATAAGGCTGAAGGCCTGGCGGGCGGCGTTCAGCGCCCCCTCCACCACTGCCTCAGGAGAGCCCACAAAGGTGTAGACCGTGCGGTTAGTGGAGGCTCCAGGGTCGACGTCCAGCAGGCTGCAGCCGGGTGTGCTGGAGATCGCTGCTGAGATGGCATCGATCACCTAAACAGTTCATAGAGAAGTTGTAATAATGTGGCTCACCTGCTTTAGTTAGTCAAGCTCAAGGGAAATATTGTGTTGATAAAGAGCAAGAACACTTTGTTTGTGAGTAAGGATACTGGGGTGGCCAGAGTTTAGACTGTAATAATGGCTCTAATGAGCATCACAACGAAGTGAATGACCAGAATTTTATGCAGAATTGATTCTAAAACTTTAGAAATTTACACTCAGATGTCATTGAAATAGAATGGAAACAATTTGAAATGATTTAAAACCCGCATTAAACTGGAAATAGAACAAAGATAACATAAAAAAATTGAGAATTTGTGTTGGCAACAAGTATCAAAAACTTAAATTAGGAACATGTTTCTCAATGTATGGCATCGGCTCTATTTATTTATTTACATTGTTATGAGGACACCAGTTGCTGCAGTTTGAAAACCACATACGTCCTCTCTCTTTCTTAATGTTGGGTTTCAGCTTCACCTGTTTAGTATTTTCGGTATCATAAAGCATCAGATGCTTTCAGTGGGTGTCCAATTTGGACTGTACTCTGGTTTGATTGGCAGCTGATTTTTTACAAACCAGTGCTGCTGGAATATGAGAACAGTGTAGTTTGTCAAAACACAAGCATGTTCTGTGGTTAAACAGAAAATCAGCTGATTATTTAATGTTCCCACTTCCGTGGAACTGTTTTCCTCTTGTGGGAAAAGAGGGCAAAGGTCAGTACACAGCTTTACTCTGAGTGAATCTTTAATGTCTGTTTAACAAATGTTTTAACAGATAATCTGAACTCAAGAGCACCTCACTCACACGTTAAACACATCAGTCTCCTGCAGATTTCATGTTGAGACATTTAAACTGTTTTCAGAGCAGTTTAAAGATATTTTGTTTGTTTAAAGATAAAAAAGATTAGCTGTTTAATGTTTAATGTCATATCTCATTACTCTAAACCATATCTTGATCACTTTTTACTGAACTGCAGTTTTTGAAAGTTATATTCTAGCATTTTATGCACTTCCTGTTCAGTACAAATCCAGAAATCTGTCAATGTTTTTATTTTAAATTCAAAGGCAAATGAAGAATGAAGTCTAGGATCTTGCTATGCTCTTCTTTTCTCTTTTCCTTTCTCCTCAGATGGCTGTTCCTCTGAGGGACGCTACTTCCTGTAAGATGAAGTTCTTCCTCCCCACGGTCACCAAGTGCTGTTCACAGGGAATGATCCAATTCTCTCTCTCTCATGATCTCAAACTGCCAAAACAGCCTAAAGTTTTTTTCTGATTTTTTAAAATCATCTCAATGTCAAAGATATATAAATTATTAAATCAAACACACAGATCAAAGCAGCAAATACAAACACTTGCAGTTGTAACTTTAAAGCTAAAGTCAAACAGCATTTCAATTCACAATGAGCACACATACTTGAATCACATTTTGCTGATAATACTCACACACCTTTACTTATTTACTTTAAACTGTTTAAATGTTTATTAGGCAGAAAAGTCCTCCTCTCACCTCTTTGTTTCGACCCTCAGAGAAGTTGGGGACACACTCTACCAGCCGAGCCATGGTGCCTGCTAACTGAATGAAAACCCAAAGAGTTCAGTTTCACCCAAGTCCAACCTCACATACCCCCCTCCAAAAACCTCTGAACCCCTCAGACAGACACTGAGCAGCGGGTCAATCATTAACTGTGTGCAGCAGATCGGTATGTAGGTCACCTGACAATGATTACCACCTCTGCACACAGACACTCTTTCAAATGCCAGCAGAATTTTTCTACATAAGAGAACTCTGTCTCAGTTTCTGATCACAGGCTGCGCTCTTGACATAGTCCAGTCCAGAAGGGAAAAAGCATGCTTCCTTCTATTCCGAAATCCTTGACCAACCAGTCAGCATACCCCAAGACGCATTACTGATGCTGAATTTGTGAAAACTAAAATAAAACATAGACTTTTCATTCTAATAATTTTATCTTTTAGCTCTATGGTCACTGAGATCTGTCTCGCTAGCATCCTGTAGCTGAATTTTAGACAATTTCAGTACAGTGTGAGACATATAAGGACAGCCATAAACATCTGGGCTCTGTTCTGTGAAACAAATTCAACATACTCAGAATAACTTCCAGTTACCTGGATTTATGGTTTTACCCTACCCTAACATCATCAGTCAGACAAAGAGGCCATAAGAAAGTAGGTATCAACATTAGGTTAAACCAGGTCAGTCTAGGTACAAGTTCTGTAAAATGACAAGGGTGGCTTTGGCAGCATGTGACCAATTTGTTACATGGAATGAACAGCAGAGAGACTGATTTTGCAAAGAGAGAAAAAAACAATAAGAAAGAAAGAGAGACATCTAACAACTACGCTGACTACAAATAAAAAGAGCTCTAAAGGACTCTATTATTAGTGCACAGGAGAAACTGATAAATTCTAATTAACAGTGTTAGTTGTTTCAGCTGCAGCCCTGATAGTGTTTAAAAGTCTGAGAGTAAAGATGAGAAAGAATTCAAAACTGAAAACTGAGAATTACCCTGAAGTTAACTGCACAAGCCCAGATTCCTGCTTTGTAGTAAAGGCCTCTAACAAAGTCCTGCCGACTCTTCCTGCTGCACCAGAACCTCAATATTTAATTTTAGGTTTGCAGAAGAAAACCCAAAATTGTTTGTCCTGAAGATGGTGTTGATGTTGGTGCATCAACACCATCTTCAGAAAAAAAATATATATATTCATTTTGATTATCAGTTATTTTCAGATAATTAGTGACAAAAATGTTCAGTTTGTTAACTAAATGAAATATTTTTTCTTTGAGAATAAATGCAAGGGGAACTTCAGTCTGATCACAGCCTCTATTATGATGTTTATTTGTGATATTGATTGATCAGTATCAGTATTTGTTTCTGTAGGTCAGAGTCTGAAAGATAAACTCATCTCAGTTTTGAGCACAACTTTGTACAAAAGCAGAAAATGAGAAGCAAAACACTTTGTTTTTGATGATTCAGAAAACATTTTAATCTCAGAATTCATCAACTTTATCAAGACTTTAAAAATATATCTGACTGTAATTTTATGGGGGAAATGCCAAGTTTTGCAAATGTGGACTTGTTTTGTCAAATTTGCCAGATTTGCCTGACTGAGCTGAATCATTAAATGAAAACAGACATTTTTAAATTTATTTTGTATAATCTGAAAGATGTTAAACTCAGTTCTGCTATCAATTGTAAAAAGATAAACACTTTTTTTTAACATGTTTTTGTCTGTGTGAAAAAAAGTTTATTGCAGACTTAACTTATTGTTTTAAAGTGGTCATGCCACAATCTGAAACTTACAAAGCCCCCAGCATCCAGCATCAGCATGGAGGAGAGGAAGACACTCACATCACTTAGTAATGACAACAACATCATCATCCTTCCGACAGACAAGGGTAGGTGCATGGATTTGCTAAACCAGAGTATCATGAGAAAATTTTTTCCACTGCTCAGTTACAAAATTGTGCACCTTTAAGACTGATTGTTTGTATGATCAACTCGGTCACCTATAACATCTCTGGCTTCGATCCTCAGCCTGTTGGTGGGCAGCTCTGAACACCACATCCAGAACACCACATCCTTGGATTTTGTTGAGAAGGTGAGAGATGTCATGATGGAGGCAGATGAAACCATGGTCTCGTACGATGTTACATCTCTCAATTGCCTCCCAGTCACGGACGAGTTGGAGGAAGTCCGTAAGAGATTACAGGATGACCCCAACCTCAGCAACAGGACCGCTCTCAGCTCCAACCAAGTGTGTTTGCTTTTGGAACTGTGTCTTAATTCCACCTACTACACATACAAGGGTCAGTTCTACAGGCAGAAACATGGCTGGTTCACCAGTTTCACCCATCGTGGCCAATTTGTAGATGGAAGAAGTGGAATAGAGGGCTTTGTTATCCTAACATGGAACACCACAAAGTCATTGGTTCAGGTATGTGGATGACACCTGGGTGAAAATCAAATCTCAGGACGTACCACAATTCACGGATCACATTAACTCGGTGGACCAACTCATCAAATTCACTAGGAAGGATATCAAAAGTGGCAGGTTAGCCTTCTTAGACTGTGAGATTTCCATCAGTAATGGGGGACATTTAAAAGCTGATGTATATCAGAAACCTATGCATACGGATCAGTATTTGAGGTTTGACTCTCATCATCCTCTGAGCATAAACTGGGTGTTATCAGGACGCTACAACACAGAGCAAACACCATCCCCACAGACACAGCAGACAAAGAAGCAAAAGGACATCACATCAAGAAGGCCCTGAGTAAATGTGGTTATCCCAGCTGGACATTTGTCAAAGCTGGGAAGGCACCTAAAGAAAGCTCCAGCCGATCGAGGAGAGAAGGACAACTGCCACCTAGGCAAAAACCCGTAGTGATCACATACGTGTCTGGAGTATTGGAAGAGTTGAGACACATTTTTTATAAACACTGCATCTCTGTGGCTTTTAAATCCCAAAACACGCTGCACCAAAAATTAGTCCACCCCAAGGATTGGGTCCCCCAACACAAACAGAGTAACATAGTGTACCCTGTTAAGTGCCAGGAGGATTGCCAGGATTTATACATCAGGGAAACCAAACAACCTCTGGCGAAGCGGATGGCACAACACAGAAGAGCTACCTCATCAGACCAAGACTCCGCGGTCTATTTACACGTACAGGCCAGTGGACACTCTTTCAATGATGAGGATGTACACATCCTGGACAGGGAGGAACGCTGGTTTGAGTGAGGAGTCAAGGAGGCCATTTACGTGAAAAGGGGAGGAATCGAGGAGGGGGCCTATGGGTACATCTTTCACTATCTTACAATGCTGTGATTGCAGCCATTCCCCAGCTCTCTGTAAATGGTACTCATGGCCATTGATCAGTCGTCTTTGATCAATGATCTTTGATCAATGATCTTTGATCATTAGTTGTTGATCAATGGTCATGAGAATTTGCATAATTATGATGAAGAAACTAACCTCCCAGCCTATTGTTCCTTCAGTGGTGCTAGTTTCTCATTATACAAATGTACTGTTTATAAGATTGGGGAAACCTGCAGTCAGCTGAGACTGAAGAAGTCACTTAGATGAGTGACGAAACGTTTCTCCCACTGAAAACGCTACGTCCAGATGAACAGAATCAACTTTTTGGGACTTGGAGTTGATGTTCCTCGCTATTGCCTAATAATGATTTAAATTTCAGGTGTAGAGAGGTTGATCCAAACATGGAAGCTTTTTTGTTCCATTTAACTCATAAGGAGAAGTGGGCAGCCACCAGCATGGTCAGCATCAGTGGTCATTGCTTTATTGAATGTTTTCTCTGTACATTTGAATTCTGGGTTAAATTGTCCTAAAATGAAACTTCCCCTACTGAATAATTTACAGCCAGTCCCTGTAAACTGGCTCTAAATTATTAGAGTGGGTGTCAAATGAAAGGTTTGAGGCTCACAGTAAGCTCATAAATGTTAGATTTTAACTGTATTTTCATAAGTTTTACCACTTGCCCCGCTGATAAAGACCTCCCCCATGTGCATTCATACAACACTAAAGTAATTAAGTAATAGATAAAAAGTTCAATGACAGAAAAGTTGCATTTTCTCTGTGTACTATAGAAATCTCTCTGTTATTTATTTATTTATTTTACAATGGGCTCATAATAATAATAATAATAAAAAAAGCTAGAGGACAGTGAGCTACCAGGACGTCTCTGTAATTTTACAAAATGATTGTTTAAAGTTTAAACCCAAAGAGTCATGCTGACAGATTTCTTTCATTAACTACATTAGCATTTCTCTATCATGTAGAAAAAAAAGACATACGATTGTAGCAACACTTCTTTTTCCCATATTAAGATATCTCATGGATTGCAGTTAAACTTCTGTACAGTGACAAAAAGAAGGGTTTCACTGGTCATTTTGACCTGTTTTTGATGAACACGTGTTACCTTTACCTTCACTGCTGCTGACTGTAGGTCCTTGATCGCAGTTTTACAATAAAAACAAAAACGACATTAAAAGTTTGCAGATACTGAGATTTACCAGTGACACTTCAGGTTTCACACTGTTCACCTTCCCTATGGTAAATCACACCATATTTATTAATTTAGCACCTTTTACAAAGGTGGACTGCAGTTCAAAGTCCTTTATAGGTAACTTATGAGCAAAGACAGTTGATACAGGAACTTTTTCCTGAATAAAACGTGCAGTAAAACAATCATGTGTTATATGATCTGGTGGCTCATTGTGAAGCAGAATAATTCAGCTGAATGGTTTCATGCAGACTCATGCAGAGTGGTGTCTTTAAAATATGTAAACTTTTACCAAACCGGACAAACAGGAAATCTGATTTGCAGCACCTCATCATCATGGATGGCTGGGTTTGGCTCATTTTCACTCTGGGTAAGAACAACTGAGTTTATCTGATTGTTGCTGGCATTTCTGGAGCTGTTAGTGAGACACAGTGTGACCTAAGTCACATCATATGACACCATAAAACACAATTACTACTGTATTTTTTCCTTATCAACAATAGCTATTATTTTAGTCATCACTGAAATCTCATCAAAGTCAAACTTGATTTTTCTTAATTTTAGATAAATAAGGTTAAACTAATGTTTACAGTATGAACAAATAAGTTATGCATGCAATATATAAAGTGATTTATATAATTTGTCTATTTTTTTTTTTTTTTTTTGCTTTTCTCAGACTTAACCTAACAATTAAAAAAGATCTCAGCAACAGAATGGAAAAAAATGTCAATTTATTGCTTTGGTTAATTTGTCATTCCCCAAACGTTGATTCTGTTCATCTGGACATAGCGTTTTCAGTGGGCGAAACATTTCCTCCTAAGTCATCCAAGTGACTTATTTAGTCTCAGGTGACTGCTGGATTCCCAAACCTTATAAACAGTACATTTGCACAATGACTGATACCAGCCCACTGAAGTTAAAATGGGCTGGGAGGTCAGTAAAAATTGTGAGACTGAAGAAATCACTTTGATGAGTGTTGTTTCTTCCACTAAAAATGCTACATCCAAATGAACAGACTCAAGTTTTTGGGATTTCCTTACCTGGATGATTGAGCATGTATCAAGACTTTTCTTTGTCATTATCTTTATAACTAGCAAAATCGGTGATATATATATATATATATATATATATACACACACACACACACGAGTGCGGAATTTGTATTAATTATTTTTCTACATCTTATAGATGTTGATGCTCACAGTGATCTATGCAGTGTCTGTTAAACACTTTTTTTTCTATTTTTTATGTTTGATTAATTGTTTGCAAAACTATGACTGTTATGTGTTTCCCATAGTCATAATGAGCAGTGCCCAGCTATAAAACATAACAGTTCATCATAAAACAACCCAGATTTTCTCTGTGGATCAAGCCTAGGCATCATTATCAAGTAAAGAGTTATTAATTAGTTGCAATACTAGATTGTAGACCTGTACCTAATTGACACATTGGTGTTTTTCTTAAACAAGTTATAGAAAACAGAAGTGTTACACAATAAATCGTTCGCTATTACCTTTCAGGAGCTCCATATTAATACACTTTAGTACTGAGTACATTTCTGTCATTCAGAGTTTTATTTCAGACTAAAAAAACATTACTGGATATCAGGGTTCAGATTTTCATGTCCCCTCAGGGTGAAATTGAATGACCTAAGTAGTCCTGATTCTACCTGTACTGCTACCATCAGATCATCATTTTAATGTGCAGTACCTGTAAAACTATCTGAATCAGCCTAAGCTGTGCATTGTGTTTAATAACAAGTCATGGTGAGCACAGAAAATACTCTACATTTAATTTGTAGTACTTTTATAGTATTTTTTTATATATCACTTCTGCTGACAATCACTAATTACAAAGCATGTTAACATTGCTAATGTCAGACTGATCATTGTAATGCTGACGCGTTTCCCACATCTGTTCCTTTAGCCTCCTCCACAGCTGGAGCAGAGTTCACTGCAATAACAGACATCCCTGATACTGCAACTACTGCACTCCTGCCTACTGCTCTTCCTGATCATTCTACTACCTCACAAAATATTACTACTACACCAGGCTTCACCGCTTCACAAAGCATTACTACTCCACCAAGCCTTACTACTACACGAAACATTATTATTGCATCAAGCATTACTACTGCTACACAAAACATTACTAGTACTACACAAAACATTACTACTGCACCAAGCATTACTACTGCCAAACAAAACATTACTAGTAGTACACAAAACATTACTACTACTCCAAGTGCTACTGCTACTACTACACAAAACATTACTACTGCACCAAGCATCACTACTGCCACACAAAACATTACTAGTAGTACACAAAACATTACTACTACTCCAAGTGCTACTGCTACTACTACACAACACATTGCTACTACTCCAAGTGCTACTGCTACTACTACACAAAACA